ATGTGCAGAGATGGTTTAAAATTATTGAATACCGTCCAAGTCATGTTAGTTGATGGACAGGATTCGTCAGTGTTATAGAGCGTTTGGTGTTTCAAAGGAAAGTGTGAGATTTTTCATCATTTTGCCCATCAAATTTATTTTGGTGAGTCATTGTGGATTATTCTGTCATGTGGGCGCAGCATTGTGTACTGTATTACTATTATACCGCAGTACTTGATTTTCGTATGGACTGCTTCTCAGTTTTGCGATTCATTTTATTACGGTTTGTTTTTCTATCGGAGTCCAGGTTCAAAAATATGGATGCGATTCTTTTTTAAACAAGAGGCTGATTGAAGGGACAAATTTCAAAGTTTCACTTTTTCATTGTTTGATGAACCAATTTATACGTTTTGGTAGTAAAAGAGGAATTATAGTGAGTTCTTGAATAGCACACGTAAAATTATACAAGTTTCTTGAAACTCTTAAAACCCCGTGTTTTTCTTAGAAAGAGGATTGAGGTACACTTGAAAAAAGGTGTATTATGATGTCAAGGATGAATTTCCGTAACGAATTATCGATTTTATTTATCATTTCCTTCTACCAATCTACATCGAGCTGAAAGTCCTGCACTTCTTAAATTGTCTGTCATTTCAGGATTTCTCTGATCATATCCAGCAGTGGATCAGGATACTGTACCTTTATTTTTGTAACCAATGTGTATCCTGAACTGTGCTGAACAGTCGCACGAGCTTAAGGAATTGAACCTCGGAATTTTCTCTTCGTTCTTGGTTTTAAAGGATTCGCAAAAAGAACCCTTAAAATCACGCCCTTGCCAACCCCAAAAAAATTTCGCAGCTTTAGCAGACTTCTTAGCAATCACATTCCTTAAATATTTACAAAAGAGTGAGCGCATTCAGCATTGGTTGTTTTCGCAATAAACGGAGCAAATTCAGCATTATTTAAGACTTGAAAAAAATGCATGTGTCCCGTTTCTGAGGTTTAGTTTTATTCAGACTGAAAATCGCTTCCGATTCCAACGCTCGTGTATATAGAGACGGTATCGCGAATGATAAAGCGCGTGTCGGACGCATTCGGAAGAAGAACTTCGAAAAGGAAACAGTTTTCTGAAGAGTCATATTTATATGGGGTGACAGGACGTGTAGAGAAAATTTGTTTCAGTAGTTGAGAATTTCGAAAGTTGCGTTTGTATCGTCATTGTATTTTGGAAGACAAAGAGGCATCGTCATACTGTATTCCGAAACGGCATTTTGTATAGACTAAGAAAAGGGTACATGTGCTTCATATGTTGTCAATCATATTTCGGCGAGAGTCTTATTGAAATTGGCGTGGCGAAAAGAATAGTCTAGGGTTCTCTTTTCTGGTTTCTTTTATTCTGAATTGCGTAATCTTGCGGATATTTGGGGTTATTTTCTGTTTCTCTTCGGTCCTTTTTTTTCTTTTACGAATTCTACCGCAAGAAAGTATATGGAGGAATCAAATGCGGGATAGAAAAGTGGGTGGATATACTTTTTCTGTGCTTCGCTCTGAAATCAGCCGTATCGAAAGTATACCTGCTGGGAAGAGTTAATATTATTCACGCACTGATATCAAGTCTTCGTTATTAAAATTTTGGAATAAAAGAAGCATTATTTGAATAGAAGCTTCGATATTTCAGACGCATGATAATTTTTTTAGGTTTCTTTCAGGAAAACAGTTCAGCTGGAGTCCCTGCTTAAATTAAGTANCAGTGGATCAGGATACTGTACCTTTATTTTTGTAACCAATGTGTATCCTGAACTGTGCTGAACAGTCGCACGAGCTTAAGGAATTGAACCTCGGAATTTTCAGAAGCAAGAACCAAAATTTCCTAAGCGTTTTTCTTGGGAATTTTAGTGCGGGAACGGTTGGGGTTTTTTTAAAGCGTCGAAATCGTCTGAAGAATCGTTAGTGTAAGGAATTTATAAATGTTTTCTGTGAGCGCATTCAGCATTGGTTGTTTTCGCAATAAACGGAGCAAATTCAGCATTATTTAAGACTTGAAAAAAATGCATGTGTCCCGTTTCTGAGGTTTAGTTTTATTCAGACTGAAAATCGCTTCCGATTCCAACGCTCGTGTATATAGAGACGGTATCGCGAATGATAAAGCGCGTGTCGGACGCATTCGGAAGAAGAACTTCGAAAAGGAAACAGTTTTCTGAAGAGTCATATTTATATGGGGTGACAGGACGTGTAGAGAAAATTTGTTTCAGTAGTTGAGAATTTCGAAAGTTGCGTTTGTATCGTCATTGTATTTTGGAAGACAAAGAGGCATCGTCATACTGTATTCCGAAACGGCATTTTGTATAGACTAAGAAAAGGGTACATGTGCTTCATATGTTGTCAATCATATTTCGGCGAGAGTCTTATTGAAATTGGCGTGGCGAAAAGAATAGTCTAGGGTTCTCTTTTCTGGTTTCTTTTATTCTGAATTGCGTAATCTTGCGGATATTTGGGGTTATTTTCTGTTTCTCTTTGGTCCTTTTTTTTCTTTTACGAATTCTACCGCAAGAAAGTATATGGAGGAATCAAATGCGGGATAGAAAAGTGGGTGGATATATTTTTTCTGTGCTTCGCTCTGAAATCAGCCGTATCGAAAGTATACCTGCTGGGAAGAGTTAATATTATTCACGCACTGATATCAAGTCTTCGTTATTAAAATTTTGGAATAAAAGAAGCATTATTTGAATAGAAGCTTCGATATTTCAGACGCATGATAATTTTTTTAGGTTAGAAAGTCCTTTTGTCAAGTCGACCTCAGGGACGAATTTAATTCATGTAGTGCAACAAAGTCTTGCACAGTGTCTTTTAACTCGATTTTCGCAGTCGCTTAAAATGCTATTAACAAATTATTCAAATCTTTCAAGTTTTGAAAGGTTTAACGTATGTTTTTCTACGCAGCATGTTTTCGTATGAGTTTTATGTCTGCGGTGTTGTACGTATAGCAATACTCCAGCGGAATAGATTTTGAAAGCATAAATGCAGCGAGGACACATCGCTGTGTCCGCATATATCATGCGAAAATGTCATTTGAATACATTATTACCTTGTACATTCAAGCCATCATTCTTTCAGGAAAACAGTTCAGCTGGAGTCCCTGCTTAAATTAAGTACATCACGTTGTTTCAGAACGTGTCACAGAAAATTGAGCTAAAAGCGTCAGCGAATTTTACGATAATTGTTTAATAAGTTTAATTTCAAGTTTTGAAAGGTTTACTAAATTGTAGCTGAAAACTTGACCAAAAAATTGTATCTTTCTTTAAACGTCTGTTTTTCTACGCAGCATGTTTTCGTATGAGTTTTATGTCTGCGGTGTTGTAAGTATAGCAATACTCCAGCGGAATAGATTTTGAAAGCATAAATGCAGCGAGGACACATCGCTGTGTCCGCATATATCATGCGAAAATGTCATTTGAATACATTATTACCTTGTACATTCAAGCCATCAGTTAATTTCATTTTTGAAAAATTCATTAGGAAGATTATTACGGTTGATTCCCTTGAACTTCTCAAGTCAGGCCCTGGAATAATTTAAAATTAAAAACTCCGCTGTTTAATATGGAATCAACTTACAATATTCCCCGAATCGAGGGAAAATTTTTAGAGCGAAGCACCGAGAACATAATTCCCGTTTTCTAACTTTTATCCGCATCCGTTTGACTAAATTTTTCTTTCCTATAAACGTTTCCTCTTTCCTACGGAAACTCTCACAATGACATTACGCACCATGAGACCGTCATTGGTATTGAGATATGCAAGTTTCCGGGTAGGAAGTTCCCTAAACAAGGTCAAAACTTCATCGTCCAGGTTTTTTTCAGTATATCATATCTGTGGCTTTGATCAAGCTTCGGGTCCGGCAAGGAAACAAGGGCTTCAACATTTTCATTTTTCTTCCCTTTTTGTCAATATATCCAGTGTGAAGAAGAGGCGTTATTTTTCATTCCCTCCGAAATACAAACGAACTTTTTGTGAGAAAAAATTGACTGATATTCTTGATTTCATTCCCTCAATCCTTTCCATCTCTTTCAAGTTCGTTGATCCAGAAAAACGTTTTCGTCTTTCGTTTTTCAGGCACAGCAGTTCGGCTGAGAATTCCGGAGGAACCATCAGAACCATTAAGATAGATAGACTGGACGAAATCTTCTTTTGAAAACCAGCGATGCGGCTTTGGTTATTGCATTATCCAAAAACTATAATACATGTACTGTAATCGATGAGTTATTAGTAGCTCTGAAGATCGATGGCCTTCGGAATACTGTAGTTGGAAATATTTTTTTAAAATTACGAATGGATTATATGTACCGAGTCACGGATTTAGTAGCAAAAACACAATCACTCAACACATACTAATACTGTCTACACTACATGTCTGGAACTTGGGACTTTAAAAGTATGCTGGCAGCCACACATTTCCGGAAGAATGCAATTTTTCTAATAGTCACTCATTTCAAAAGCAAGTCTGTTATGTGAAGTGAGAGGCCCCCATACGTAAAATTCAAATCTGAACAGGTGACTAGCCCGATTTCTTTGTGCATAAAATCAGGCGCATATTGTATGGGGCACAGTAAGTTATTGAATTGCATGACATGAAGCTAGATTTTAAATTCAAGCAGAAGATGCAGCTAAGCATAAAGCCCCTCCTTTTTCCATTTGTAAAGTCTCATTGGAATCAGCAAGTGCGGGCTGTAACAAGCAAATCTGCATTTCTGGAGGCGAGAGTGATTTGTTTAAGGCATGAGCGCTACCCGGAAACGAATCGGTCCACGCGGATTCATGTATTCAAGTCCCCGCGGATGAGGAGATGAAAAACGATTTGGTCTTGTGGGGATTCCACGCGTCGATTTCATTTCCCCGCGGCAGTGCAACTTCGTTCGAGGTTCAGGTTTGTTTGAGTGGGTTACAACGACATTTTTCGCTCTTGTGTTGGGCTTGTGAAATAGGATTCTCTCATTTTTATTGGAATTAAAAGAAAAAGAGAGATAAACATGGTGCATTACGAGGACGTGAAGGTGACGTCGGGTCGGTCGACGAAGAATGCAGCTGCGAGTCAGGCCTGTTTTCAACTCATGAAAGCCACATTTCAGCTTGGAAATCTGCTCGGTGAAGTTGCACCTGATTCCACGTCTGCAGTTGGTGAGAAAACGGGTTTCTGAATATTCGTGACGGAAGCTGGTGTCAGCCCAACAACACTTTTCCATTGATTTATAGCGTGGCATTTTCGGCTTTTTTGTGAATCTTGTATGAACTTATATTTCGTATAACCTTCTCGACAAGAGAAGACGAAGGTAAATATTCATGCAGCGCCTGAGTACAACTTTTGTGCTGTTCGAATGTCTCTTCGTTACAAAAATAATGTCTGACTTCTCATATCTCCTTCCATAAATTTCCCTCGAACCCGTGAAACTTATGAAAAGAAGACAACCTTTTCACCTCTTTCAACGAGAGAATTTCATGGAACTAAGGCCTTCGCAGAATTTTGAACCTTCTTTTTCTCATCTTGTCAAAAAGCGGGGAGATGCGGTAATTTAATGATTTTAAAACGACTGCGTAAAGTTGAAAATCTGCTGGAGAATTGAGAAGTGTTGCCGGAGTGACTTTCAGCGCGTCATATATGTTGAGAAACCTTTTGTTCAGGTCTTTGGCGTGAATCCTCTTGTTTAAAGAAAGCCTTTTTAATGTCCCTGTGCTGGTCACAATAAAAGATGTCTAATAAATCCATAAAAGTGTAAATCATTCGGGAGAAACCGGTATCAACTTTAACGAAATATGCAGCTGTTCTTATGGAGATTTATTAAGCTTTCGTCATTCGGAAGCTATATGCCTCCTCGGCTTAAAAAGTTAAAAATGATATTTATACAGTACTTCGGTTACCCTTTTTGTCATCCAGATACAGGGCCATTCTTCACAAAAATGTTGTGACTCTTGACTGAATTTTGTGCGTTGTGTGCAGCAATAAAATACATGGACACATGCAAGCACGCAGTATAGTCAAACCTCTTCGAGTCAAACTTATTCAAGCACCTTGAACTTAATCACCATAAACCAGAATTTTTGTTGAGAAAGAACAATTTCAGGAAATTTTAATTGGTGATATTCTACTTCTTAAATGAGTTGATGCTGAACTTGGAAGCAAGGGTTGATTTGCCCGATATTAGTCCTTCACTTCCGTTTAATAGCACATGAAGATACATTTTATTGCTTTTCTCTTTCTTGTGTTGATAAAAAAGAGCACCCATCAAAAGGTCTCCAGAAATGATAGTTGTGGAGATTGGAGGGGAAAATCCTTTGATTCAGGAAGGTTTTTAATGCCTCATGCTTCGAAGGGAATTCAGGCAAAAACTACCTGAGTTAAGTAACCTATATATACTTGAGTTAATAGGGTTCAACACTACTTCAACTTGTTTTCCAATGCTCTAAAATTTTATTGTTACCCCAGCAGTTCAGTACGCTTACAGTCTACTAAAAACAACAGACTAATAATAATTGTTGGGAAAACGATTGATTATAAAATACACCTGCACTGGTATCAGGCGGCCATGGCCGCTTTAAAGATGGAGATATACAGTACTGTATACAGAGGAAACAAAAAGTAATTGATGATTACAAAATATGTATGTAAATTACATACTTATGCAATGTACATACAGGATGCATATATTTAACATTTATTTTGTGCTTGCTTTTACTGCTGCAAGAAATGTGCGTTTGTCAATTTTGCCTCGAAGATAAATGCGAGGATGGTTTAAATAAAATATTATTTCGAAGTGCGTTCACTGATAGGGTTTCTCTTCTTCGACTGAAGTCCAGTGTCAATCTTGTGGCACGTAACGGATCCATAGCTGGAATAACACGTGACCTTGAGAACTCGAGAAAAATTTACCTATGAAACTTTCAACACTTCCGGCGCATATGACGTCCAGAATTCGGAAATTTCACCACTAGTCGTTAAATTATCAGACGGAAATACTGCTGCGTTGCATATTATTTCCCAGGATTGTAGCCTTTGATCTTGATTGAATCTGAGGATCGCTAGGATATTTGATTCACGTGATTAAAAACAAGCGCAATACAGTGGAATATGAAGTATGATTGGTGAACGCTATATGTACATTTACGTTTAATTCAATGAGCGAGAGTTTCTGATTCAGGTTAATATCCTGGCGGCATTAATTGCGATATCCGATACGCATATGTCTATAGTTTGAAGCGACGGATAACTCCTCAGAAAATATTTCCTCGATTTGTGATATCAATTTCAGGACTTTTAAGCGCAGAAAGAATGAGAAAAAATAATGCAGATCACGCCCGAGTATAGGACTGATTGGCTGGCACGCCATATACAGTATACGGTTTCTCTACTTGCGTACCGTACCACTGTAGACGCATAGAATTCCCTGTGGGAAATTTGACTGCTTCGCAAACAAAACTCCAAGATAAATCGGGTGGCTTGACTTGAGTTAAAATTGTGTGATTCAAGGTACGGCATCGCCGACAGGACGACGATCGCCGTCGTCACCACTGTCGGGATCAGGTCCGTCGTCGCCGGCCAGATCCCGACGGGGATCGCCGTCGCACTTGGCGCCGCCGCCACCGACGCTAGTCCGGAGGTTCTCGTCCCCAAATAATGACTCATTGAATCAACAACAATCCAAGCGACATAGCTTCTCGTTCAACCAGCTCTTCCAACATTCCAAGTCGACGAATGGTGACGACCTCGAAAGCCATGAGATTAATGTCGAGTCCGGATGCGAGTACCTCGACGTCACGTGTCAGTACTTGATGAAACTTTGGACGGCCGAGAAGGTGGGGGCAGTATTTTGGTATATCATTTTATTACACTTCTGTGCATCTCCATCAGGTTGTGTATATACTATCTTCGACACCTCATCGCATATACTGTGGATTTTTACGCACACTGCGCATCATTCTAAATTACCGCATGTAGCTCAACATTAGCAATTGGTTATTATTCTTTTTGAACAATTTCATTCCAGGAAATTGCTTTGAATGGAGGAAACACTGTAAAACAGTTTTGGAGACACATGGTTTGCAGTCGCCGCGTATGAATTGAAAACTATAGACTAATTTTCTTTTTGCTTTCCCGGCGAATGAGTAGACAAAACTGAGAGACTTAGTAGTAAAATCAGCCTTTTCCTTTCATCAGACTTTTTAGTAAAATATTTTAAGTGGCGAAATCCTTTTGGATATCGAAATTTCCCTGTTGCTTGGCAGCCCTTCACTGGAGTTATGCCAGGTTTTTAACGCTGACAATTTGGTGACAGTTCGGAGTACAACCGTCTTACAGTTTTTCAATTTTCCTTGCATTATACATACTTATATTGTGTAATAATGTTCCTACTTTTTAAGTTGTATGAATCTTGACATGTATTCTCTTGCTTTTCATAAAATTAAATAAGTTAATTTTATATATCCTCAAGTGGACGATATTGAATCTTTTATTCTTCAGGTTTAAGCGCAGTTTTATTGAAACTTTTTTAAAGGTGATATCAGCTGTATTTCCATCGAAATTTAATTCGATTTCACTGCACATTTAGAATTCTTTTTGAGAAAATTTTTCATGCCGCTACTGTCCTTATTGAGATTTATTTTCTGGTTCCTTTTTCCGCTGAGAAATTCGACTGCGTCTATATAACCTCGGCATGTTTTAGGTTATTAAATTTAGATTTAAAATTCCAGTGAGGCTACATAAAGTATATTCAATCTGATGGAACGTCATGTAACCAATATGTAATCCACACATAAGGATGAGTTTCCCACGAACTGTCAAGTACGTCAATCGGAAAAGGTTCGGTTCGCTAAATTTTCATGCGCAAGCGTGATTTGATTCGTTGCCATATCCGTGACGTCGTGCTGACGTTCTGTGCCGTGCGAAAACGTGCCAGGTGAATGGGAACGACTTCGTGGAAGGGTCCAGAATCGGTAGCTGAAACGTGAGCGGGCGTGTTACTGTATAGACATGCCTCGTTAATATGTTATGCCTGTGAACGTTATATGGTCGCATCTGAATAAGTAAACGTGCCTGAATTTTGAGTTCAGTCCTTTGTCGTCAGCGTAAGCTCCGAGAACATGAGTGAGGATTGTGCGTGTTGGCATAGTTTACTGCCCATCAATGGTCACATAAGATAGCGTGCTGTGCATAGTGCCTTCATCTTGAACGATGTAAGAAGCAACAGTCAGTATTTAGTTCTGAGAAGTCCTGCTTTCCTTACCTCTTCCCCAAAAAGGTGAGACCTACGCAGCAGGAGTATACACAGCTGTGGAGTGTATCCAGTGGTATACGTACGTCTGGACTTGAATGCTGCTTCTGTTCGAGCTGTCGCGTTGCGTTGTTGATGGTCACATGCACGTGCTCGATATACTCTTATGCTGGCGTTAGTGCATTGGGGCATGCAATTCAAATTCCGATTCGAGTTTGTTCCTTGTGCGACGAAAGCTCGAGTCAAACCAGAATAATTGATCATATACGCGTCACAGCGGGCCTTTTTTTGGTCGCTAAGTATAAGTGCTACAGAGAAATAATAAAAATAAGATTTCCGCATCTTTAAACGACCTTCAAGAGTTTCTGATTTTTGTTTTCGAATGATCATTTTCAGGCCACGATTTCTTTCATCACCGACATTAAATCTCGAAGTTATGTTCGAAATCTCTCGCTCGTTTGTTTCGCCACGGGGATTATCTGAGATTCGATTTAGTTGAATTGGTCAGATGCTGTTGATTCTTCTTTCTAAGCATACTGTATGAGTTTTCCTGAGTGTCTCACTGAGCTAGTTTTTCGAGACTCAAGTGAGATTCTTATACTGTGCAGAACTGTACATCTATGCGAATATATCTGTTTCCGATAATCCGCACTCCTGGGGAATCGCCAGGTTGCAACCGTGAACGAAGACGAAGTTCACAAGGCACTCGAGGGGTCAGTCACAGACAATGAATTTATCCCTGAGCTCATCGGGGAGTCGGAGATTTTCGACCTTAACCTGAGGAAACACTTGATTCGGGTTCTTCCTGCCCGGTGTCAAGGTTAGTCGAAAAGATTCCGTTTTCTTGAGATGCTTTGTTCGTCCTGCAATGATATATATTTTATCAGGCTATCCGTGGAAACTGAGCTTCAGCACTGCGAAGGACGGGTTTTCCTTGGCGAATCTCTACAGGAGGATGGAGAATGTAGAATCGTGCGTTCTGCTCATCATACAGGATTCGCTGAACAATGTAATTTAAGCTGAGTTTTGGATGTTCTCGCGTTACTAAAAATTGCTCGAGCATTTGATCAGAACCATGAATTTGGCTTCTGATGCGTAAGCGATATTCATGAATTCATAAGCTACGTCTTTTGGTCATCAAGGTAATGCTTTCATTGGGTGTAGATGTCACTGTTGGTCATGAGCGCATTCCATCCTAACCTGAATCATATGTCATACCCTCGTTACGAATGGGTTCATGAGCATGAGTTCTTCAGCAAACCATGGTTGTTCTTTTTCCGTATGAGGAATTAAATATTGTTAAATAATGAGGATACATTAACTTGCTTTCCCTGAATCGAGCAATTCTCTCTTCTGAGATTTTTGAACTCGCTGAAAGTGCTGATTTATTTGCCATATCCAAATTTTTTTGACGTTTCATATTTCCAGAATAATTATCATTAATTTATTATTACATTTTTTAAGAAAATCGAGTTCAATTTGAAGTAAAGTTTAGTTTGATGACTCACGATGATGAAAGTTTGGTTCGACGTAGGTCTTCGGAGCTTTGCTGTCACATGCTCCGACGATACAAGACCATTCCTTCGGCACCGGCGAAAGCTTCCTATTCACGTTTGCGCCTCCGCCGGATGCGGATGTAACGCCTTCCGCTCCGGTCGTCGTTGTGGAGTCTTGTTGCGTTGACGAAACTGCTGCTGCCGGTGCAGTAGAACCTAGCTCAGAGTCCGCCGCAGTGGTTGTTCAGAATGCTGAAGGAATTGTTGGACAACCGAATGTCGCAGAAGTGCGTGAGGAAACGAGGGACATTATACCATCGAAGGACCTTGGCTCGTCGAAGATGGCGATTCCGGGTGGGAAAGATAGTGGAAAGTATTTCAGGGCCTTCAAGTGGTCCGGAGCGAATTCTTTCATCATCAGGTGTTATCCTGATTCCCTTGCTGTCGGGATTGCAGAGTAAGTGCATTGCAAACAATGTCCGAATCGCAGGTTGAATCATAAAGCTACGAAGTCGGTTACAGGTACAGTATTTATTCAAGTACGACGTGCGTCCCAATTTTGACCTTGAAATTTTGATAAAATTCTATCCTCGAGCTGTAAGACATGCTCCCCATTTTAGTCATTTGAAAACTACAATACAGTATTTTAGAAATGAGAGACACCGGCCAGAGTTCAAATTTGAACATAAATCCAACCTGAATTCAATTAATTTTCGATTTAGTCATCAGCGAGCTTCCATTGTTAGCGAAAATCTAACATACATTTCAATCAGGTGTTCGAATTGTTTCAATCAAGGTTGTAATGGAGAAACCTGCTAATGAGCATTATACAGTACTTGAATACCTGTTGTTCATTTGCTAAGCCCCCGCTGTGTACTATTTGGGTGGTTTATCCATCAGTTTCACAACTTTAGTAATTTGCTCACTAGTTGTCTCCCTGTCTTTGAAAGGAGACACACAATTAATAGTCATTGCGAAACTCCGTCAAAAATGTTGCTCAATGAACATTACTGTACTTGAGCAAGATCTGATATAGAATTATTCTATTGTGAAACTTGTTTGCCTAGTGTACTATTAATTTTTCGCATATTTCTGCTGGGAATTCTCTTAAATCTGCCTGATGATTTTTTGGTGTGCATCAACAGAAAAAGTTGGATTTCGTGAAATTAATAAAAAAAATTGACTTTTAGCAGTAATCTGGGTTGAGAAATTTTCGAAGGATCCATATAACTTTGTTGGAACAGATTTCATTTGAAATTTTCAAATTCAAACTCTTAAAGGCAATTTGTTTCTGTTCATATTTATCTAATTACTGTAGTGCCATATTTACGTGATCATGATGAGCAGTTACCAATGACGCGTTACGACAAGAAATGTACTCCTTTTTTGATGGGAAGTTATTTTAATTGATTCAATATGGGTGTCAGGAAACTTAAATTTTGAAAATGTTGCTTTCTCGCATATGTGTGGTGTATTTTCGCGGCAAAAAAATTATGGAGCCGATTATTTGGTCCGTTTCATAATCTTTTCCTTCGATTTTTTTTGTGAAAGCCATTGATTTCCCTTGTAATTGCTGCCCCATATCACGATGTGTCATCTCTGAAATACTCGAAGCTACGTTTCAATCCGGAAAAATAATTGAACCTTTTCCGTTTCCCCTGAAACCGAATTCAATTTGACCTTCCACTTGTCCACTTGAATCACACGTCGAATGTTGACGGGAATTGCTTTTCAATTTGTGCAAGTTTCCAATAGAACCGCGTAAATTTAGTCGTGCATTTATGGGTGCATTTCTATACACGAGAAAGCAGTTTAATTTTATGAACGCGGACTCAATTCTTCGTCTTTTATTAGCTTCTTTTCTGTGTCAAACCATCCCAGTTTTATATCAGACTTGCGGGTAACCACTTCATTTTTTTTCCTTCTACAAATCTTTTACTGTCGTTCGTTCTTGGCAGTGGACGTTTCGGGCTGCTGTTGGATGGCGACCTGAACAAGGGCAGAACGGATGAGTGTGCCACTTTCGAAAACAGCATATTAACAACGGACAATGACTTCACTGTGCTGTCGCTGGAGTGCTGGTCCTTCGATTAGTCGCGAACCTCGCATATGCAAAATAGTTCTCATCCCTTTCCTGAGCAGTCGATTATGTGACTTCGTCTCGTACGTGAACCTATCGATTATATTCACTGATATGCATGGTTTTCTTTTTCATCGCCACGCTCGTTTTTTCCCTGGCGATTTTACCTCTCCTGATGGTTGCATGTTATTTGTGTTTTTGAAGCGCAGAAGTTGGAGTGTAAGGTTCGGGAACTGTATTAGAATTTTCGGTTTGTGTGATTTTTTTATCTTCTGTGGATAGTAAATTTGGCTGCATTATACTTCCATTGCTTGTGCTGTGGAATAGGTCAGACATTTTTTTAATCGTTCGTCAATGCCGTGTTGATTTTTCAGGTTATGCGCTGGGATTGTTTCTGGTGTTTAATTTTTTTTGTTCGTGTCCTAGCTTAGGTAGACTTCGCTTTGCAGCGTTTGCGACAACAGACTATAGAATCCCTACTGATTTTCTGCGGCAAAATGCTGCAGAAGAGTATATGCCAACTTTTAAGTTTGATCAAGCTGAGACGCAAATATTTTCCGAATCTGAT